GAGGATCCCCGAGACGGATCTTCCAGCCTCCAACTCGGTGAGCGCCTCTCCCTAGGGTAAGAATATATCATGGTCCGAGACGGATCTTTCCCGAGACGGATCTTCAACCCGGTGAGCGCCTCTCCCTAGGGTAAGAATATATCATGGTCCGAGACGGATCTTTCCCGAGACGGATCTTCCAGCCTCCAGCCCGGTGAGCGCCTCTCCGTAGGGTAAGAATATATCATGGTCCGAGACGGATCTTTCCCCAAGACGGATCTTCCCGACCCCAGCCCGGTGAGCGCCTCTCCTTAGGGTAAGAATATATCATGGTCCGAGACGGATCTTTCCCCAAGACGGATCTTCCCGACCCCAGCCCGGTGAGCGCCTCTCCCTAGGGTAAGAATATATCATGGTCCGAGACGGATCTTCCAGCCTCCAACCCGGTGAGCGCCTCTCCCTAGGGTAAGAATATATCATGGTCCGAGACGGATCTTTCCCAAGACGGATCTTCCCGACCCCAGCACGGTGAGCGCCTCTCCTTAAAAGACTTCAATTCCAAAGGTCCGAGACGGTTCTTCCCGCCTCCAGCCCGGTGAGCGCCACTACCTAGAGGGCCTTTTTATCCCAAGGTCCGAGACGGATCTTTCCATCTCCTGGGAGTAGGAAATCCCCGAGACGGTTCTTCCAGCCTCCAGCCCGGTGAGCGCCACTACCTAGAGGGCCTTTTATCCCAAGGTCCGAGACGGTTCTTCCAGCCTCCAGCCCGGTGAGCGCCACTACCTAGAGGGCAATTTTATCCCAAGGTCCGAGACGGATCTTTCCATCTCCTGGGAGTAGGAAATCCCCGAGACGGTTCTTCCCGCCTCCAGCCCCGTGAGCGCCACTACCTAGAGGGCCTTTTATCCCAAGGTCCGAGACGGTTCTTCCCGCCTCCAGCCCGGTGAGCGCCACTACCTAGAGGGCCATTTTATCCCAAGGTCCGAGACGGATCTTTCCATCTCCTGGGAGTTTTCCCGCCTCCAGCCGGTGAGCGCCCCCTACTAGAGGGCCTTTTAGCCAAGGTCCGAGACGGATCTTCCAGCCTCCAGCCCGGTGAGCGCCACTACCTAGGAGACTTTAAATCCAAGGTCCGAGACGGATCTTTCCATCTCCTGGGAGCAGGAAATTTTCGAGACGGATCTTCCAGCCTCCAGCCCGGTGAGCGCCACTACCTAGGAGACTTTAAATCCAAGGTCCGAGACGGATCTTCCCATTTGCTGGGAGCAGGAAATTGCCGAGACGGATCTTCCCGCCTCCAGCCCGGTGTGCGCCTCTCCTGGGGGCAAGAAATTGCCGAGACGGATCTTCCCGCCTCCAGCCCGGTGAGCGCCACTACCTAGGAGACTTTAAATCCAAGGTCCGAGACGGATCTTCCCGTTTGCCGGGAGCAGGAAATCCCGAGACGGATCTTCCAGCCTCCAGCCCGGTGAGCGCCACTACCTAGGGGCCTTTTATCCCAAGGTCCGAGACGGTTCTTCCCGCCTCCAGCCCGGTGAGCGCCACTACCTAGAGGGCCATTTTATCCCAAGGTCCGAGACGGATCTTTCCATCTCCCGAGAACAGGAAATTTTCGAGACGGATCTCTCCGCCTCCAGCCCGGTGAGCGCCACTACCTAGAGGGCCTTTATTCCCAGGTCCGAGACGGATCATTGTGGAGAGACGGATCATAGCGGAGAGACGGATCTAAAAAAACATGCCCAGGTCCGAGACGGATCATAGTGGAGAGACGGATCATTGCGGAGAGACGGATCAAAAAAAAATATCCTGGTCCGAGACGGATCATTGTTGAGAGACGGATCATTGTTGAGAGACGGATCATTGTTGAGAGACGGATCAAGAAAAAATATCCTGGTCCGAGACGGATCATTGTTGAGAGACGGATCAAAAAAAATATCTTGGTCCGAGACGGATCATTGTTGAGAGACGGATCATTGTTGAGAGACGGATCATTGTTGAGAGACGGATCATTGTTGAGAGACCTGGAGTCACAAAAAGCCCAAATTTATCTAGCGTGGGCTGTTTGACTTTTTAACATAACTACAATTGCATTTGAACTAGCCCCCCTTATATTTATGTTATCCCCCAAGTGGGGTTCTTTAAAGGTATATAAATGCAATAATATCCAAACGTTAACACGTTTGGATAAGATTGCGGGACTGCGACTGCTTTAAACGATCTCAACGCCAGAGCCATTGGCCCCAGCGTGCTATCCGCGTGGCGCGAGCCTAGCGCAGGCGCTTGGATCTCACGTCAACCTGTAATCTGTTTTTCTTCGGCAGGCCGGTGATCCGCTGTCCTCCCGGGGTTCGAGGCATCGGCCTGTGAAGTTGCGCGCGCGCAGCAATATTCATAGCACATGTGCCAGGAAAGTTGATCGGCCTGGCTTTCGTCAGGCGCTTGGAATCATGGGCAGGCCTTTGCGTGCGTCCATTTTCGATCACATGCATTAAACATGTACGCGGCCGCTAGTGGCCCCAGCCAGCATGGGCAACAAGCGGAAGCTTGAGGACCCCGGCCCAAAAGAATGTTTTCCTTTAATTGACGCTAAGCCCAGCCTGCAGGACCCGGGACCCAGCGCTTCTGCTGAGCCCGAGTCCAAGGGCGCTGCCAAGCAGGACTATCGCGCGTCGCGTCTTGCAAGTGGTGCGTTTACTTTTAGACTGCAGGACTCAGCGGCAGAGCTGGACCGTTGCCACGTGAAACTGCTAGCGATGGTGTCGGCCCAGCACGCGGTAACGCCGGAGCCTGGCATCCAAGCAAAGGCGCGACCACGTGCCTCAGGATCACCTGCAGATCTGCGCGCTCAAGCGCCACCGCAGCCGAAGCTTGACCGCGCTGCTAAGATGAGCGCCGCTAGGCGCAGCAATATCGTCTTTGGCCTCTTGCATTTTTGCTTTCCCTTGTCCAGGCCGAAGTGGAGTCCCGGACGCCGACTGCTGCTGCAACTGCAGGAGCAAGGCCCCAGGATGATGGCAGGGGGCCCTCCTCAGGAGCCACTGCCTCCTGGGCCAGTCCACCGAGATCGGCCTGTGGATTCGCAGCCGGCCCCAAAGCTGGCGCCAAAGCCGGCGGCAAAGCCGACGCCAAAGCCGGCAGCGCCAAGGTGCTGCTAATTTAAACTGCCACCCTCACACGCAGTCTCGATCTTGCAGGCCTCGCATCCCCGTGCCGATCCAGCACCGCAACCTCCTGGAACAAGTGTTCTTTGATTCTCGCAGGCGTGGCCAGCTTTCAATCTTGAATTTGTATATAATTCTTGCTCTGAGGCGCGTTTTTGTGGACCGAGAAGGTCGTGTGATCGGGCGCCCGTAGATCTTCGATATTCGGCTGCTCCAACCCTGTGCGCGTGGAGGAACGTTGCAGTGCATGATTCGACGCACGCATATTTGATTGCGTGTTTCATTGGCACCTTCGCCCCGCGCCAAGGTTGACTGCACTGGCCTCAGATCAGCGATCTTCCGAGGTGCATATGCTGAGCATTCGATATTTCAGATATCGAATCTTAGTGTGTGCGCGTCGGCAAGTTAAATAATTCAAGTTAAGCGCGCGCTTGATCTGTTTGCAGCTTGCAAACACATCGATCGTGTGCGTTCTATTTAAAAATGTTAAGCACGCTCATGAGTCTTTGGTGCTGCAGGTACATGGCTTGCGCCCACCATTTAGCGCCGGCCATAGCAGCGCGTTGGGCGAACTGCCCCGAGCTGTTGCAGGCAGTGCGCAATTGGCACGTCCTTGTTGTTGGCAAGCCTTTTTCAGGTTGGCTTCAGTTTTGTCCAAGACCGCTCAGCCAAGCTCTTCACTGGCATCGCCACTGTGGAGGATGTAGTCCTCAATAAGGAGGCCCAGCCTTCAAAAGACAATGTGTGTACTAAAGCTTGCCAGCTTGTGCCTTGTCAGGTCGTCATCCCCTTACTGCAAGCGAGCGTCAACAACCAGCAGTTCCTCCCAGTGTCGGTTTGCGCGGCCAGCCTCCGTCTGTTCTATGAAATGCCGGGCCGCTGTCCTCAGGGCATTGCAGAAGACACCTTCACAACCTGGATCTCCAGGACTGCGTTTGCTGTGAAGGCGTTGCACGCAAAGGGCTTGAAACTGCTTCGGAACCAAGGCGCCCACAGCCCTGATATCAGGGAAATAAAGCGGCGTGTACGAGCAGACCCCATCACACCTCCAGCAAGTTTGATATCGTCAGCAAGCAAGGTTGCTGGCGCAGATTTCCTGTCTGATGCAGGCGACCTGTTCGATTGGCAGGCTTTGTCTGATGCAGTCGCATCAGCAACCCAGGCAGGCCCTTCTGTAAAGCTTGCAAAGGGTACTGGAAGCTCGGCTGCTGCACGTGAAGTGCCTGATTTTGCCTCGCCCTTGTTTCAGGTACATGGTTCTGTAGATGCGTGTCCTTGCGCCTAGGTCTTGGAAACTTTGGCCTCTTTGATGTCTGCAGACGAGGCAGCAAAAACAGCGCAAGGCTCAGACCCAGTTTTCAGCCCCAGACACTTATACTTAACGAATCTTCTTGTTCCATCCTAGGCCGGTCACCCTGCAGCGCCCGAACCTTCAAGAGACACTGAGGCCTTGCTCCCATTTAACAGTCACTCATTTGCTGTGTCGAAGCCCGACGAGTTGGTCGCTGGCCATCTCCCTAGCTTAGACCTCATTTGGTTTGATGACCCGAGCGGATCTGTTCAGCGCGCAGGCAACAAGCTGAAGCGACAGCGCCTCATGTGAAACGAGGGGGCTGCTGCGTGTCCGGCATGCTGCGATTGCTTGGCGCTTGATTTTGTCAGTACTTCAAAGCTGTTTCTAGACGGTCCTTCAGTGTAGCGGCGGCGCCCTTAATATGCCTCGCACCCTCCAGCGAGCTGACCAACAACTCGTGGACGAGATTGTCGCCGAATGGAAGCGACATCCCCGACTTGTTCAGGCCTGCCCCCTTTTGTTTCATTCGTTGTGTCCCAGCACGAATGGAAGCGTTGGCCCTCCAGGCAGGCGCTGGGTTCATCACCCCTCACAGCTCCCAGTTCTGGCAGAGCAACGCCGTGACTCTCAAGGACGTGGAGGTGAACGGAGAGGCCTGACAAACTTCTCCACTGCGCACATCTGCGCCTGCTTGCGCGCTAAGGTGGCAATCGGTGCTTTGGCGGCTTGTGGAGATCGGCGCTTGGCAGATGGCACGCTTGCAGCTGCAGCTTTGCAGTTCTATAAAGCCAACAATGCAGCGCCGTCTCCCGATGTCGGGAACTCGCACGAGGACCTTGAGCTGTGGGCCAAGAAGCAAGGCGCAGGCGCTCGTCGCTTGGCCAGCCGCTTGAAAAACTGCATGGGCCACACACCTGAAAAGTCCAAGAGCTCGAAGCTTCAAGAAGTCAAAACTGCTATGCTGCAGCGCTTCGAGGAGAAGGGCATGATCGAGCCTTTGAGCGCCAATGCCCCAGACTTGCAGGCCTCAGCTTCAAAGCCAGACGAGGACTTTGACTGGGATGCCCTTGCGGACATGCTGCCCAAGCCCGTCTCCGAAGATCTGATTCCACCCGGCAAGGCTGGAGTGGCAATTTGAGTCAGTTCTGCAGCTTAAGCCTGCCAGGTCTTTGAGGACCTTTGCAAGTACTTCAACCTTGGCGACGCCGACCTGGAAGCCGTGGCTGTGGAATTCGCGAGCTCTCTTGAAGACGGCGACTCTTGTCCAGCGTCAGAAGCTGAGGCCTTGCAGGCGCCAGCCCCCGAGTCAACTTCTTTTGACACCCCGCAGAAGCCCAGTCCAGTCAAGCTGTGCGATGTGCGGCACCAGTTTGTCAAAGAACAGCGCTCCAATGGCATCAGTTGGAAAGACGCCAACCGCCTTTGGATGCACTCGGAAAAGAGGGCTGAACTCTTGAGCAACGTTCCTGAAAGCGAGCTCAAAAGGCGCCGCTTTATGTAAGATCGACATGTGCAATTTTGGCGCCAGATCAATATCGATCAGGCACTGCCGGGTTCTGCAACTGCGCACAGCTGTTGCCTTAAACTGGGGCTGCCCGTGGAATCACGGACATCATCGGGGTCAAAATCGGTCCCAACCGAGCGCATGACACATCAGCTTACTCGGAGAACTGTTGAACCTCCTGCTTGCAGCCAACAGTCATTTGCGTCCTGCCCGCAGCCGCTTTGTGGTGTTAATTTGCCGCCCTTTTTCCTCCATGCTTGTGGCAAACATGCTTCGTTGTCACGCCCCTCCCGCTCTTGCGCTCGTACTTCTACTCCTGCAGTTCCATGAGCGCTTCGGGCCAATCAAGCAGGCTGGGGGCCCAGCGCGCCCAACTTAAGACTTTCAGTTTTTGCTCGCAGTCTCATGACTTCCTGGAGTTATTCAGCGGCCGTGGCCTTGCAAGCGCTGGCATGCGGGAGGCCAGAGTGTGTTTGTTGCACACTGCTGGCGCTACTTCAATACCAGGTTGGCCTGACTGGGTCCTCAATAGACTTGGAGTTAAGCGCCGACTTGGACTTGTGCGCAGCCAGCGGGTTCATGCCTGGCCCTCAGTAGTCGGAGCAGAAAAGTGCCGAATTAGCTGCTCAGATGCGTGCTCCAAAAGCTTCGGGAACTCAAAGCTGGGGCAATTGTCCTGATTGGACTGCCATGCACCAGTTTCTGCGTTCCGCCTGAGCCTAAGCCGTGCGCGCTCAATGATGAATTGCTCTTTGCTCCTGCCTGCCTGCAGGTGTCAAGGAACCCACGAAAGGAGCGAGCTGTGGCCATTGGCCAACCAGTCGTACAACTTTGTATCTTGCGGCAACCTTTTGGCATCACGAACAGCGCTGGTGCTTGCAGTGTGCGTAGCTTTTCATCTCCGTTTTGTCTTGGAACAGCCGTTTGGAAGCCGAGCGCATGTGCATCCGCGTCTTTCTCAAATGTTCGAGGTCCTCACTGTGCACTCGACGACCATCTTTCACGGGGCATATGGCCAATTGACTCCGAAGAAGCAGTACCTGTATAGCAACGATTCCCGATTGCTTTCTAGGCTCCACGTGGCCGCTGGTCGCTTAAGCGAAGACGACGTGCGCCGCTGCAGCGGCAACACTTTGGTGAAGCGTCGCAAATGCGAGGATGGCCGCGTGCAGTGGACCGGGGACCGAATCGCCCTCCGGCAGTCACAGTATTTTGTCCGCAGCTGGTGTAATATATTTGTGTTGGTGTGGCTCTTGGCGCATTAATATTCCAGCTTCTTCAGGTGCTACACCGCCAGATTTGGGTCCCACATTGGGCTTCTCTTGCATGAGGCGCGTGCTGACCCTACTTGGCAGGACTGCATGTCTCGCCTAAATGTTTGCAGCGCTGCAACTCACGACCGCTGTCAGGAGTTGCCTGGTCCACGTCAGGCGCCAGCTCACAGTGTTGGCGAGCAATCAGATGAGGAGTTGCTTAAGGCCTTGTGCCTGTCTTTTTGTTCTTGGTGATTAATGCGTGTCAAGGCCATGCCATTTGACAGCTTCTTTGACTGGCAAGACGCCCCAGTCTCAGCTTCATTAGTGGCAGCCGTGTTTGATGTCTCAGCCCGTACAAGGCGCAGTTGGCTGAGTGTGTCCGGTACTTAGCAAAATCCAAAAGCATCCGGCCACCGCAAAGTTTGAGTGAGCTTCTCCATCGCCTGATGGTGCTGTTTCAGTAATTAGCGAGCACGTGGGAGCGCGCATACGTCAAACATCATCGTGGTGCGTGGGCTGAAGATTTTTTGAAGAACCCCCCGGGTATTTTGAGGAACCCCCCGAGTATATTGAAGATCCCCCCCTGGTCATTTTCCAGGCCATGACATCGTCGCTAATATGCGAGGATGTCATGACCTGCAGATCTAGTAGCTCTCCGTGCCTTTCTGCAGCTGCCTCAGCCTCGACTCTGCTTCAGTAGGCCCTATGGAGGCGCTGAAGGAAAAGCTTGGCGGGAAAAAGCCGACAGCCGAACAGTTGTCAGAAGCCACAGGGCTTCCAGTGGCTGAGTGCACCAAGCTGCTGGCCACGGCAACAGCCAAAGCCAAACCGAAGTCGAAGAATAAGCCGAAGAACGCGAAGGCCAAAGCCGTGCCAGCGGTACCTGCGCAGGTCGACCTCGCTGTCAGCTCAGGGAGCCAGGAGGCTTCCCCAGTTCCGATCACGCCCCCACCGTCTAAGCGCATGAAGACACATGCGGAAATGGTGGCCACTCAGCCGGACACCGCGGAAGTGCCCACGCAGGAGAGATCAGTGTTTTTGCGTGGCACGTTTTCCATCTTGTGGCAGGAGATGGAGCTCAACGAGACGCAGCTGCCTTCGCCCGAGTTCAACAAGGCCACCAGCAAGGAGCTCCTCCCTCAGCTCGACATACAAAAACGGCTCATAACCTGTACGTGTCTGTGCGTGTGTCAGGTCTTTGCCGTCCCTGCGCAGGGCGCAAAGCGTCTTGGCCTTCCAGGAAGCAGCCTGTCCAGTGCGACCTGGCTTGATTAAAGCTGTTCCTGCCAAATTTGCAATTGCCTTGCTTAACACTGCTGCTTAGCCCGGATCCTCCTGCTCCCTCGGCGCCATCGGATGCAGCCCCTCCACTTGCCATCGAAGACGACCGCAGCGCTGGGCTTGAGAGCGACGAAGAGTCGACGACGGAGGAAGACCCTGTCTTCGAGGGTGACAAGCAGGTGGCCCTGGACGAAGCAGAAACCCCCTGCGTGCAGCCCCCGGCCTCCGCTCGCAACGATGCGCAAGTCATCAACTCGAGGACGCACAAGCTGGCGTACCAGCGCCTCGGACGCCTTGTGAACAACCCCGCACGCATCAAGAACTTCCCGGATCTCAAGAAGCTTTTCCTGGACCCCGCTCACAGCAACGAGGTGCTTCGCGAGTGGGTTCACACTGGCGAGGATGCCGCGGCCGTGCAGGCCACGTGCGAGATGATCGTGAGCTCCGAGGTGCAGAATAAGCGCATCATGGAGCCCCTCACTGTCAAGGAGATGCGCGCCAAGGGGTTCTCGGAGCAACTTGCCTGCACGCTGCAAAATCCCTTTTCTTTTCTTTTGATCGGCCCAGCGCATGTTTTGCGCCCTGAGGGCGAAAATCAGCGCCACAGTGGCGGCGGGCGGGGGAATGGCCGATGAGCAGGTTCCCAACAGCGCCGAAGATGTCAGATACTGGGTCCGGACTTCGTGGACCAAAGCTTGGACCGACACGGCCGCAACGCGGGCCAAGATCACCGGAAATGTCGCTGCCGCTGACGCCTTGGGCGCCTATGAAGCTGTCCAGGATCGGGCCAGTTCTACGCGGTCCCTTGCAAGCGCAGCTGCTCCAAGCACTGCGTCTTTACTCCAGCATGTGGCAAGCACAGCCTCTTCGCCAGGCAATCGCAAGTGCATACGTGTACAAGCATTATATATTTGCCTGACCTTTTGCAGGCCAGACTCCGCCGCAAGCCGAGGGCAAGGCGCCCAAGCGCGCGGCGAAGCCCAAAGCAGGACCCAAGGCAGCGGGCCAGGAAGGCCTTTTTGGCGTGAAACTTGAGGGCAAAAGCGTGGCGCAGAAAGTGGAAGCCGTTCGCCAAGACCTCAGCTTAAACCGAGGTTTCCAGCTTGAGCCTGACTTTTAATTACCTACTTTTTTTTGGCAGGTGCAAAAATACGAGTTTGCACGTGTCAAAAAAAAGGCTTAACCACTTATATTACGCATAGTTCGCCGGGGAATGGGCGCGTTCAGGGAACACCGCCCCTTTAACATCGGTGCGCCCATTCTTTTCCCCCCCCCCCCCTCCCCCCTCCCTTTTTAACATCGGTGCGCCCATTCGCCGCGAGCAATGCCAGTTGAGATCATTATGAGTGATTAATTATACACGATCCATGTGGTGCTGTTTTGGCTATAATTGGTCCCCGCAACGTTTGGATTGATAAGCCAAAACAGCACCAAATGAATCGGCTTAAGCTACGCGAGCTGGCGCCAACCTAAGCTTTTGGTCCTAGGCGCAGAGCTTCGCAAGGAGACTTCCAATCTTCGCGGGCTGGAGATGGACCTCCCGGAAAATGCAGTGGACGTCCACGACAAGCTGAGCGACGCCCTGAGCAGCTGCAAGAAGATCTTCTGCAGGCGAGGCAATACGCGCGTTGCATTGATTCGCAGCGTCTTCGTGTATATAGGCGCACGTGCGAGCAACATCTGTAGCAGCGACCTGTGCGCTAGTGCGTGGGCGCGCGTGCGCGCGCGCGTGTTCGTACGCGTGTGCGCGCTTGCGAGTGCGTGCGTGTACTCGCGCGCATGTGAATTCAGTGCGCCCGCGCGCGCGTGCGTTTGTGCGCCACGCTCGCTACACGTGCGTGTGTGTGTGTGTGTGTGTGTTTGCGTGCTGCGCACCGCGTGCGCAGGCTTACGCGCGTGCGCACGCATTCCTCTCAGGAGCCAAGATGTTGTGACCGAGCAGCAGTGGCTGGATTTTTTTGAGCAGGCGCAGGACGAGGCGATTTGCATTGTGCTTTCGCGTCGCATATGTCTGCGCCCGAGGTGGCGATTGTGCGCATGGCAAAAGCGCAAATCCGCGCTGTGGTTAGCGAGGTGAAGAAGCCACGTCCTAAGACAACTGTTGATATTATATGCGCCTGTTGATATTATATGTATATATAATGCACGTGTCGACACGACTAGCTTTCAATCCTGCAGGGGCTACATGCAGAAGGCTAAGCGAGACAGGGCGAAGGCAGAGTGAGTTTTTCGCTTAGGATCCAAGCTAGAGGTGTGCTTGCATGCAGGATATACTAGGTAGACCACTGCCGTAGGTAGCTGTTTTTAGACCCAGGTGCCAAGGCTTTAAATTCCACGCGTAGCCTTGAAACTGTGAAACTGGCTTGGCAGTGGCGTGGTTTTGTGGCAACTGCCCATACCGGGCGCTGCTAGACAAACACTGAGTGAGGGCATGCGGGCAAAATCTGACTATCATCATGC